CACACAGACAGTAGTGTAGAGTCTCCCCCTGCTGGTGCTCAGTGGTGCGTGCGTCTCGTCTGTGGGCAGTGACCCGAGTCTCTGACACCACAGACTCAGCTCCCATCATCAGCTGAGGTCCGTACCCCTGCGCAAATCATCACTGCACCAACACACACACAAGTACTACACACACACCTACACACAAGTACTAGTACTGCAAATCCAAGTACTAGTACTAGTACTGCAAATCCAAGTACTAGTACTAGTACTGCAAATCCAAGTACTAGAGCGGGGGGCAGTACCTTGGTGAATCCGAGCTCGAGCAGAAGTCGGTCGGCCACAAACTCGATGTACTGCTTCATGAGGTCACAGTTCATCCCGATGAGTTTGACGGGCAAAGCCTCCGTCAGGAACTCCTGAAAACACAACAACACACAACACGGTTACACAACAACACACAACACACAACAACAACACACAACACGGTTACACAACAACACACAACAACACACAACAGTTACACAACAACACACAACCACACACACAACACACAACACGTTACACAACAACACACAACAGTTACACAACAACACACAACAGTTACACAACAACACACAACAGACACACACACACACACAGTTACACACAACACACACACAAGTTACACAACACAACAGTTACACAACACACAACAACACACAACAGTTACACAACAACAACAACAACACACAACAGTTACACAACAACAACACACAACAGTTACACAACAGAGTTAAACAACACAACAGATGAGAGTTTGGAGGAGAACAGTGGGAGGTTTAGACGGCGTCTGAGTTCAGATTCATGATGTTTTGAACATCACTGATGTAGAATGAAAGAGTCTGTGGATTAAACCTGCTCTTCTTCTGACTGGATCATGTGGACCAGAGTTTTACTCTCATCGTTTTACTCACTGCAGCCAAAGTATTGTTTATCCAAACTCCAAATTAGACGTTCATTCACGTTACACGCAGTAGTACACAGGCGTGTGTGCAGTAGTACTCTGGCATGTGTAGTACTCTGTAGTACTCTGTGGTATGTGTGTAGTACTGTGTGTGGTGTGTTTGACCTGCTCGATGGCGACGGCGTCTCTGATGATTCGTTCCACGGTGGACGAGCTCGGTTTGTTCTCCAGGTGTTTGAACATGAGGCAGGCGAAGTCACAGTGAAGACCCTGAACACAACGACCAATCAGAAACAAGCACCACACACAACCACCAATCAGAAACAAGCACCACAAAACAATCAGAAACAAGCACTCAGAAACAAGCACAGAAACAAGCACAAGTCAAAGACAGTACACAGTAAAAGTACCTGGTGTGTGTAGTAGTAGTAGTAGTACTTTAGTAAAAGTAGTGCAGTATAAAAGTACCTGGTGTGTGTAGTAGTAGTAGTAGTACTTTAGTAAAAGTAGTGCAGTATAAAAGTACCTCGTCTCTGCTGATGAGTTCGTTGGAGAAGGTCAGTCCGGGCATCAGGCCTCGTTTCTTGAGCCAGAAAATGGCGGCGAAGGATCCAGAGAAGAAGATCCCCTCGACAGCGGCGAACGCCACCACACGCTCCCCTGAAACCAGACCGGACCAAGTCAGAACTAAACCACTAAACCAGACGGACCAAGTCAGAACTAAACCAGGACTAAACCACACGCTCCCCTGAAACCAGACCGGACCAAGTCAGAACTAAACCAGGACTCAGGCCTGGGACTCATGTTTTACCGTAGTTGTAGTTGCGTGTGTAGGTGTAGTTGCGGGTGTAGGTGTAGTTGCGGGTGTAGGTGTAGTTGCGGGTGTAGTTGCAGGTGTAGTTGCGGGTGTAGGTGTAGTTGCGGGTGTAGTTGTGTGTAGGTGTCGGGTGTAGTTGTGTAGGTGTAGTTGTGCGGGTGTAGTAGTGTGTGGTGTAGGTGTAGTTGTAGGTTGCAGGGTGTAGTTGTGCGGGTGTAGGTGTAGTTGCGTTGGGTGTAGGTAGTTGCAGTTGCGGGTGTAGTTGTAGTTTGCGGTGTAGGTGTAGTTGTAGTTGCGGGTGTAGTTGTAGTTGCGGGTGTAGTTGTAGTTGCGTGTGTTTTACCGTAGGTGGCGTTCTTGTTGCCGATCCAGTTCAGAGCCCAGTCGGCCTTTTTCTTCACACAGGGAAGAGTCTCGATGGCGTTGAACAGGTACTCTCTGAAAACACACACACACACACACATCAGAACACACACACACACACACACATCAGAACACACAAGAACACACAACATGTGACAAGTGAGGACAACACACACACGATAAACACTGAATGATAGGCAAGAAAACCACACAAAACACCCGTGTGTGTGACCTCTGACCTCTCCTGTGAGTCTTTGATGTATGTGTGTGTGTGTGTGTGTGTGACCTCTGACCTCTCCTGTGAGTCTTTGATGTAGGTGTCGATGAGCAGACTGTACATCTCTGAGTGGATGTTCTCCATGGCGATCTGGAACCCATAGAAACATCTGGCCTCCGTCACCTGCACCTCCTGCATGAAGCGCTCCACCTGCACACGGGACACCACAATCAGACCAGGACCAGGACCGAGACCAGGACCAGGACCAGACCCAGGTCCACACATGTACAAGAGCAGACTGAGGCTCTCACCAGGTTCTCGTTGACGATTCCGTCGCTGGCGGCGAAAAAAGCCAAAACGTGAGAAATGAAGAACCTCTCCTCGTCCTTCAGAGTCTCCCAGTGCTGCAGGTCTTTGGACAGGTCCACCTGAAACACACCAGAACCTCAGACACCTGGAGTCCACCCAGAGGACCACGGGGACCTGGAGTCCACCCAGAGGACCACGGGGACCTGGAGTCCACCCAGAGGACCACGGGGACCTGGAGTCCACCCAGAGGACCACGGGGACCTGGAGTCCACCCAGAGGACCACGGGGACCTGGAGTGGGTTTGGAGCAGGTCTGGGTCAGGAGAACATGTGGCTCTTGTAGAAGATCAGGAGTTTGTGGACCTGGACATATTTGACTCTGGTCGTCAGAAGAGTCACTCGAGTCAAACAGGTCACGTCACAAACTCGACCGACAAGAAAAACGTCACATGAAGAAAAGAGCAGAAGAACTTGTGGAAAGGATCTGTGGTCCTGTGTGTAGTACTGGTGCAGTACGCAGTAGTAGTATGTAGTAGCAGTATGTAGTAGTAGTAGTAGTAGTAGTAGTAGTAGTAGTAGTAGTAGTAGTGTAGTAGTAGTACAGTAGTAGTAGTAGTAGTAGTAGTGTAGTAGTAGTAGTAGTAGTAGTAGTAGTAGTAACAGTAAGTAGTAGTAGTCAGTAAGGAGTCGGCCTTCTTGTACATGGTCCAGATGTCGTGGTAGTGAATGGGGAAGATGACGAAGCGTCGTGGGTTTTCCTTCAGCAGAGGCTCCTCCTCACACTGGGACTTGGGCTGGAACAAAACACACACACACTGAGAACGACAACTTTTACACAACACACACACACACACAGAGAACGAGAACTTTTACGGAGATATTTAAATCTCACTATTCGATATTTATTCTGATATTTTGTGGAGACAAACAAAACTGCATATTTGACTTTTTCCTCTTAAAATGTCTTGACAAGATTTAATTTAAAAAACTAAGAGTTAAAAGTGTTAGAACTGTTATTTCTTCTTGTCGTCTGCACTGAAACAGAGCAAAGGATCATGGTCTATGTAGTTCTCTGTGTTTTTATCTATTGATGCAGAATAACTTTTAATTTAAACAAATAAACTTGTGACTGGAGACATTGTGATGATTCACGATATTATTGAGACTTTTGATGATTCGATATCACGATATTCTGGTTTTTGTTACATCCACAGTGAGAATAAAAAGTCCAAATGTTTGTGGCTCATGTTTCATTTTATCATTTATATTTTTATCTTTGTTGTTCTGTTGTGTGACTCTGGGTCCAAATCTTTTTCTTGTGGATGAATAAAGTTTGTCTAAGTCCGAGTCTAAATGGTCCAAAGTGAAATGAAAAGCTCTTTTTTGTGTAGTAAAAGTAAAAGTAAATGTGCTGGTTGTGAAAGTCAGTGCGGATAAACCAGAGATTGTGGCTCTTAACTGGATGTTTCAAAGCTGTTGGCGCCACAAACGCGTCACTCTGGTGATCAGCTGTTGGCGCCACGCCACATTTGCACAAACTCCGCCTTTTAGCGCAAATCAAACCCCTTTTTTTTTCTTTTTTTTAATCTCCCTCCGAAAGTTGCGGCTCTGGAGCGGACACGGCGCACTCGGGCCCGGTCTGCGCCGCTTTTGGAGCCTCTTACCGTGGACTCCGAGAAGATCTTCCGCGCCGCCGTTTTCGAAGCCAAGATGCGGGTGTTGTTCAGGCTCGGAGGCTGCAAGAGGCACAAGGAACCGGCTCAGAACCACCGACAAACACCCCACAGAAACACTTTTACAACTCAACTCTTCCATATTTAACAGAGACACTTTTGTAAATAAACTCTTTCATATTTAACAGAGACACTTTTGTAAATAAACTCTTCCATATTTAACAGAGACACTTTTGTAAATAAACTCTTCCATATTTAACAGAGACACTTTTGTAAATAAACTCTTCCATATTTAACAGAGACACTTTTGTAAATAAACTCTTTCATATTTAACAGAGACACTTTTGTAAATAAATTTCTATTGAAACTTTTGTAAATAAATTCTTTCCGCGCTGGTTCCCGCTGAAACTCTCGCGGTTCTTACCGTGTTTTCTTTGTCCAGGCTCAAAACGCTCATTTTGTTGCTCACGGAGTTTTGGTTCTTCACGGACAGAGGAGAGCGCGCAGACAGCATCTTTACGGTTCAGTTAAAACGCGACGAGACAATAAATAAAATAAGTTAAAAGTGTAAAAAAGCGGGAAGTAAAACTCGTGAAGCGGCTTTGGCGGAGCGGACAGAGCGGAGGAGCAGGAGACACTGACGCGCCGCTCCGTTCGCTCCAACTTTTATTGAAATCTTGGCGCTAAACGCTGAGCCCGAGTGACGCAGCCAATCAGAGCTCACGTTCGGCGCGAGGGAACGCGGAGCCCGAGTGACGCATCCAATCAGAGCTCACGTTTAGTGCGGGGCGAATGAAAGCGTTGAGGAAAACGGCTCAAAAACGAATAAAACACATTTAAAAATCACTTTATTTTACGGCGATATGAACAGATCCGTGTCCGGGCACATCGGTGTCAAATGTCAGAGCGAAAAGACGCGTTTATCGGGAGGGTTTAACACAATATCGCGGCTCGTGGGGGATTTAACTGGACGAGGACAGAGAGCCAATCAGAAGCGATGTAAAGTGCGTCACATCCGGGTTTGGCAGCGGGAAATCCAAAGTAAGAAACGGCTGCGAAAAGTGTTACAAAACCTCCACAAAAACACTTAAACAAAACATTAAACATCTAAACCTCCACAAAAACACTTACAAAACATCTAAACCTCCACAAAAACACTTACAAAACATCTAAACCTCCACAAAAACACTTACAAAACATCTAAACCTCCACAAAAACACTTAAAAAAACATCTAAACCTCCACAAAGACACTTACATAAACAGTTAAACATCCATTAAACCATTAAACTTACGGAATATTAAGGTTTAACTCGTTTAATCTGAGGATTTTTCAGTTTTCCTCTTTTACCAAACAGTCTCTTTGTTTACACTGATTCTCAGACACTTCTGCGACACAAACTGCACAAACAGCGTCAATAAAACTACAATAAAACTGCTGTTTACGGCTCAGAAATGAAGTTAAACAACATGACAGAACATTAGATGACATTTTAAAGATAAATAGACGGACTAGGTTTTCAAAATTCTAAACTGGAACACACCCGGTTGAGCTGTTTGTGTCCATAAAATAGTTTAAAAAAGCGTTTAACTTTGTCCTCGACTCACGTGTGGATCAGAATTTAATCTGAGACTAAATACAGAAGCACGAAACAAATGCAACTTATGCTCCTCTGGTTTAGAACTGGTTTTGAACTGATGTAGTCTTATTTTTTATTTTTACCTTATTTTAAACCCAGGATTTAGATCTAGTTTAGACCTGAAATACACCTCATATAGTCCTGGTTTAGTATTATTATTTGTATTTGTATTTGTATTTTATTTATTTATTTTTTGTTAGTAGTATTATTATTTTATTTATGTATTTTTTGTTATTCGTAGTAGTGTTATTTTATTTATGTATTTTTCCTTATTAGTAGCATTATTAGTTTGTTTATGTATATTTATTTTTCTTATTAGTAGTATTATTAGGCTATTATTTATTTTTATTTTTACTTATTAGTAGCGTTATTACTTTATTTATTTATTTATTTTTTTTTTTTCTTATTAGTAGTATTATTACATTATTTATTAATTTATTTTTATTAGTAGTAGTATTATCATTTTATTTATGCATTTTAGTTTTTATTTGTATTTCATTTGACGCTCCTGATCAGAAGAGGCGGACCGTTTCGGTGCCTGGGCTTGTTTCTGCCCGGCGCATTTCCGCACACGGACAGTGACACAAACATGGCGGCGAGCGGAGGAGAAAATCAAGACGAAAAGTCCGAAAAGGCAGAAAAGTCTCGTTTCGGAGCCGGGAGTTTGTCCGAAATTGAAGACGACGACAAGACGCAGATTATAAAAGGTACGAACGCGGCGGTGAGTCCAGTGTTTGTGATCAGAGCGTTTATATGTGTTTTATCAGCACGTTTCTGCAGAGTAAGGTCACGGTTTTACATTTCATTTATTTATTTATTTCTTTATTTCTTTGTTTGAGCAGGTACAACAAAATTCAAAAACAATAACAAAAATAGTGATATATACATGACATATTTGGGGCTGAACCTGTCGCCATGGGGATGAAGTCTTTGCCTGCAATGTTCCTCAGTGTGGCATTAAACTTCTCTGTCCTACATTCTTCAAACTAAATGTGTTTTTACTGCTCAAAAATCCACTGAAGAACGCGACGTCGCACTGATCCCACCTAAAACCTGACACCTGCTCGTTTCCATGGAGACAGATGAAGGAACATTCCAGGCAAAGCAAATACATCAGTTTAATGAAGTTATTCTGACCAAGCTCGTGTGTCCGTGTCGTCGTGTCTGTGTTGTCGTCGTGTCTGTGTTGTCGTCGTGTCTGTGTCGTCATGTCTGTCGTTGTGTTTGTGTTGTCGTGTCTGTGTCGTTGTCATATTTGTGTGGTCGTCATGTGTCTGTGTCGTGTCTGTGTCTGTGTCTGTTTGTCATGTCTGTGTTGTCGTCATGTGTCTGTTGTCATGTCTGTGTTGTCGTCATGTGTCTGTCATTGTGTCTGTGTCGTGTCTGTGTCGTCGTGTCTCTGTTGTCATGTCTGTGTTGTCGTGTCTGTGTCATGTCTCTGTTGTCATGTCTGTGTTGTCGTCATGTGTCTGTTGTCATGTGTCTGTTGTCATGTCTGTTGTCATGTCTGTGTTGTCGTCATGTGTCTGTGTCTGTGTCGTGTCTGTGTCATGTCTGTGTGTCGTCATGTGTCTGTGTCGTGTCTGTTGTCGTGTCTGTCGTTGTGTTTGTGTGTTCATCATGTTTCTCTGTTGTCGTGTTGCAGGAGTCGTCTTCTTGTCGTCCGTGGCCTCGGTCGGACTCATCGCAGGATTCGGTTCAACTCTGGCCCTCGCCAAAAAGAAGAGTCCGACCTGGTTCAACAAGGTACTGACTCAGACCCCGGTTAGACCTGGGTTAGTCCTGGGTTAGTCCTGGGTTAGACCTGGTTTAGTTCTGGTTAGACCTGGTTTAGTTCTGGGTTAGACCTGGGTTAGTCCTGGGTTAGACCTGGTTTAGTCCTGGGTTAGACCTGGTTTAGTCCTGGGTTAGACCTGGTTTAGTCCTGGGTTAGACCTGGTTTAGTTCCTGGTTAGACCTGGTTTAGTTCTGGGTTAGACCTGGTTTAGTCTGGGTTAGACCTGGTTTAGTTCTGGTTAGACCTGGTTTAGTCCTGGGTTAGACCTGGTTTAGTCCTGGGTTAGACCTGGTTTAGTTCTGGTTAGACCTGGTTTAGTTCTGGTTAGACCTGGTTTAGTTCTGGGTTAGACCTGGTTTAGTCCTGGGTTAGACCTGGTTTAGTTCTGGTTAGACCTGGTTTAGTCCTGGTTTAGACCTGGTTTAGTCCTGGGTTAGACCTGGTTTAGTCTGGGTTAGACCTGGTTTAGTTCTGGTTAGACCTGGTTTAGTCTGGGTTAGACCTGGTTTAGTTCTGGTTAGACCTGGTTTAGTTCTGGGTTAGACCTGGTTTAGTTCTGGTTAGACCTGGTTTAGTTCTGGTTAGACCTGGTTTAGTCCTGGGTTAGACCTGGTTTAGTTCTGGTTAGACCTGGTTTAGTTCCTGGGTTAGACCTGGTTTAGTCCTGGGTTAGACCTGGTTTAGTTCTGGGTTAGACCTGGTTTAGTTCTGGTTAGACCTGGTTTAGTTCTGGGTTAGACCTGGTTTAGTTCTGGTTAGACCTGGTTGAGTTTCTGGTTAGACCTGGTTTAGTTCTGGGTTAGACCTGGTTTAGTTCTGGGTTAGACCTGGTTTAGTCCTGGGTTAGACCTGGTTTAGACCTGGTTTAGTTCTGGGTTAGACCTGGTTTAGTTCTGGGTTAGACCTGGTTTAGTTCTGGGTTAGACCTGGTTTAGTCCTGGGTTAGACCTGGTTTAGTCCTGGGTTAGACCTGGTTTAGTTCTGGTTTAGACCTGGTTTAGTCCTGGGTTAGACCTGGTTTAGTCCTGGGTTAGACCTGGTTTAGTTCTGGTTAGACCTGGTTTAGTTCTGGTTAGACCTGGTTTAGTCCTGGTTAGACCTGGTTTAGTTCTGGTTAGACCTGGTTTAGTCCTGGGTTAGACCTGGTTTAGTTCTGGTTAGACCTGGTTTAGTCCTGGGTTAGACCTGGTTTAGTTTTTAGACTGGTTGTTAGACCTGGTTTAGTTCTGGGTTAGACCTGGTTTAGTCTGGGTTAGACCTGGTTTAGTTCCTGGGTTAGACCTGGTTTAGTTCTGGTTAGACCTGGTTTAGTTCTGGTTAGACCTGGTTTAGTCCTGGGTTAGACCCTGGTTTAGTTCCTGGTTAGACCTGGTTTAGTCCTGGTTAGACCTGGTTTAGTTCCTGGTTAGACCTGGTTTAGTCCTGGTTAGACCTGGTTTAGTTCTGGTTAGACCTGGTTTAGTTCTGGGTTAGACCTGGTTTAGTCTGGGTTAGACCTGGTTTAGTCCTGGGTTAGACCTGGTTTAGTTCTGGTTAGACCTGGTTTAGTTCTGGGTTAGACCTGGTTTAGTCCTGGGTTAGACCTGGTTTAGTCCTGGTTAGACCTGGTTTAGTTCTGGGTTAGACCTGGTTTAGTTCTGGGTTAGACCTGGTTTAGTTTTGGGTTAGACCTGGTTTAGTTCTGGGTTAGACCTGGTTTAGTTCTGGGTTAGACCTGGTTTAGTTCTGGTTAGACCTGGTTTAGTTCTGGGTTAGACCTGGTTTAGTTCTGGTTAGACCTGGTTTAGTCCTGGGTTAGACCTGGTTTAGTCCTGGTTAGACCTGGTTTAGTCCTGGTTAGACCTGGTTTAGTCCTGGGTTAGACCTGGTTTAGTTCTGGTTAGACCTGGTTTAGTCCTGGGTTAGACCTGGTTTAGTCCTGGGTTAGACCTGGTTTAGTTCAGTACAGAGCTTTTGGGGAATATTTTCCAGTGTCGTTACTGTTGAAATAAAGATCTGGTTTAGCTGGATCATGGACGTCATAATTTCCTCTCCTCAGGGTTTAGTCCCGTCCCTCGGTTTAATCCCGTCTCTGTGTCCAGGGTTTAGTCCCGTCCCTCGGTTTAATCCCGTCTCTGTGTCCAGGGGATGGTCCCGTCGGCGTCGGTCCCGGAGTCTGGGGCGGGTCTGGCTCTCCGGGCCCTCGGGTGGGGGTCTCTCTGGGCCTGGTGCGGAGTCGGACTCATCAGTGTCACCGTCTGGAAACTGCTCGGGGTCCACACGGTAAGACCTGGTTTAGACCTGGTTTAGACCTGGTTTAGTCCTGGTTTAGTCCTGGTTTAGTCCTGGTTTAGTCCTGGTTTAGTCCCGGTTTAGTCCTGGTTTAGTCCTGGTTTAGTCCTGGTTTAGTCCCGGTTTAGACCTGGTTTAGACCTGGTTTAGACCTGGTTTAGTCCTGGTTTAGTTTTAGTCCTGGTTTAGTTTAGTCCTGGTTTAGTCCTGGTTTAGACCCGGTTTAGACCTGGTTTAGACCTGGTTTAGTCCTGGTTTAGTCCTGGTTTAGTCCTGGTTTAGTCCTTTAGTTTAGTCCTGGTTTAGTCCTGGTTTAGACCTTTAGTGGTTTAGACCTGGTTTAGACCTGGTTTAGTCCTGTTCCTGGTTAGTCCTGGTTTAGTTTAGTCCTGGTTTAGTCCTGGTTTCCTGGTTTAGACCTGGTTTAGACCTGGTTTAGACCTGGTTTAGACCTGGTTTAGTCCTGACTTAGTTCTGGTTTAGTCCAACTCCAGAAATGAACAAAATGATCCAGATGATTCTAGTGAAGGTGTGTGGAGTTTAAAAACACAGTGGAGCACTTCCTGTATCACCACATGATGACATCACGAAGTGGAACAGAGTGTTTTCAGTTGGAGAGAAGAACTCCTGAATATATTTTCATTTAAATTCTGTCCCCTTCTGTTTTGAACATTAATGTCGGAAACAAAGACACAGTTCATAATTTGAAATAAAAAATTATAAAATAAATTAATAATAATAATATTATTATTATTATTATTATTATTATTATTATTTCAAAAAATGAAATAAGGGGGAAGAAAAAGAAAATGCCTTTAAATTTCGACTTTAAGATTGTAGTAAAAAGTACAAGATGATGAAAGGAAAATAATATTTAAGTTTAGTGACTAAAAGTGTTTATTAAAACAAATTTAAATAAAAAAAATGTAATTAATAAAAAAATAAATAAAAAAAAAAGAGCAAAGGAAATTAAATTATAAAATGGCCAAAATATATGTATTTAAGGGGAATGTGGTTATTTCATTTTTTATTTTAGTTTTATTTTTATTAAGTTCGGAGTGGGGACATTTGTTGTAGGTTTAGTTTTATATTTTTGTCTTTTGTTTTTATGTTTATTATTGTATTTTGTTAAACGTCGATCGTCGTACAGAAACACGTCGTCGTTTTATTTCTTCCGTTTTAATGATTCCTCTTTGTTGTTTTTTTTTTTTTTTTTTTTTTTTTTCAGTTGTCCGACTTCAGGCTGAAGATGGCGTCCTTCTTCCCGTCCGTCCCGAAGTCCAGTTCCGGACCGGACCAAGTGGACTGGGACGAACTGTTCAAGTCCCACCCAAAACCTGCTAATGCTAATGTTGCTAATGCTAATGTTGCTAATGCTGCTAATGCTAATGTTGCTAACGGAGAGTGAGCCGCCGCGGTGGATTTGTCCGAGCGAAATTTGTAAATGTTTGTAAATATTTTCTTTTGAATTAAATTATGATGTGAATTTGGA